GTGAAATGAAACTGTTTATTAACTCAATCTCTTTTATTTACCCGGTTGAATATAATTTTCTCTTTTTCTTTTTTAATTAAAACTATTATTAATTAGAAAATTTTAATTTTATATACATTAGAATACAAAACACTTTGTTTCTTCTTATGATTAATTCAATTCGATATCAACATTAACTTTGGGATGTAGGTACATCAAGCTGATGAGCCCCAAAATAGGACGAAACACGTGTCTTGGATTCCACTGCTAACCACTATTTATCGTTGCTTATAAATATAGTATGTGGATGTGAAGGATAGTAATAATAGTCTTATTCATTGTTATAAATTTTGGTATAGTACAGTAAAGACCTTTCAGTATCAATTGAATATTCAATCGAATTGAATTTGCTCAAAGTTGATTTTATAAGTACTTTTTTTAATAATTAAACTTTGTCGTCAATGTTCAATCATTAAAGATTTTTGCAAAACTCAGCTTATATAACCCTGTTTTTTTTCTTCCTTTATATGTGACGAGCTTAAATGTCAATATATTCATATCTTGTTTTGTTAAATGATACATTAAAAGGAAAATAGACCAAAAATTACACTTAAATTCTCTTGGCATTGTTTACTTGAATCTTCCCATTGATATTTAGCACTATAATTGATCGATCTCTTATTGGTATACGTGCATTCTATGCGTATTGCCTCGATATTGCCTTAATTTGCAAGTATTAAAACACACAGATGGATAGTGGTTATCAGAACTCAGAAGCTGAGTGGATAACGCGATGGCGTTTAAAGCGAACAGTGATGGGTCCGAGTCTCAGAGGGAACGTTAACTCAGAAGCAGGTACATCCAGCTGACGAGTCCTAAATAGGACGAAACACGTGTCCTGGATTCCATTGCTAGCTACTACCCATCTTTACGGAAATTAAACTGTTTCGGAATGAGTTTTACAGTATTCAGCATTGCAGCAATTTGGAATATTTTATGGTTATGCATTAGTACATGTAGCTAGCATTTTCAATTATTCATTTAAAAAATCCAAAACAAACCTGTTAATTACACAATTACAAGAGTGAGCGACACATACGCTATTCAAGTAATAGTTCATTGCTTTCCGAAACTGCCGTTACTTATGTGATATAACTGAGGAGAATAGATAGACGGTTAAATTTTAGTAGGGTCTGTATCATTAGAGGGTAATTACTCGAGGCCAGATGTATAATCGCCTTCTCTAGTCTAATGATGTTGCCTGTACGACCAGTGACTAATAAACACCAAGCAAGTCCCAGACGCCTACTGGTGTTCAATCTCGTAACATAATGTTCAATCAAAAGACGAAAATAGAAAGTGGATTAGTTCTCGTTTGTGTTTTATTCAATTATTATAACTATCTAAGAACATAGCAGCACAATTAGGGAATCACAATGTGTACTTAACTTAGATATAAATGACACAAAACTGAGGGAAAAAAACATTTTGCGATGAATTTGTAATGGTAAAAAGTATGATAAAGATTGCTAAGTCAAAAGAAAGATCCCACGTATGAAAATATCAAAATACACTGTAAACGTCTACTAACCAATACTTCGTATGATATTCCTACAAGATATACATTCACACTATTCATCCAATCATTTTGATATATATATATATATATATATATATATATATATATATATATATATATATATATATATATATAGCGAGAGAGAGGATAAGGAGTAACAAGCGTAAGTAAGTAAGTAAGTAAGTAAGTAAGTAAGTAAGTAAGTAGGTAAGTAAGTAAGTAAGTAAGTAAGTAAGTAATTAAGTAGGTAAGTAAGTAAGTAATATGACTAGATAATCGGTAGGTTGTATTAGACATAGATTTCAATAGAAATGATGCTGCATATTGTGTCTGTGTAGTATTATAGTCAGACACGATATTACTAATTAATTTTAGCCATATCTAACCTCTTTTGAACTGAAGTGTTTATAAAGTAACTACTTATTGTGCAATAACCAATGTTCATGCTAACTAGTGCTTATTGGTAATCATATTCTACTAGTCAAGTTGACAATGATCAAGTGTTAACAAACACGAAAGTTAGCCGGTCAATGTTTCTTGTACTAGCGATTGTCATTATTACTAACATGAAAATCCTCCAGAAATAAAGTTTTACAGAGCTCAAAAATATCAGTCCAGAATATTTTACTGAAAATTCTTCCATTAGTAATTGTAAATATAATTGCAATTTATCTAGACCATCATGAAAAACCTGGAAGAAGTGGACGGTCGTTTCGTCCTGTTGTAGGACTCCTCAGCAGTGCGCATCCATGATCCTACTTCGTAAGATTCGAAGTCAGGACCTATAAATTTCGTTCGCGATCGCTTAACCACTAAACTACTGAGTCAGTATCCAATGGCGTTAATGTCTAACTTCAACTAATTCACTAAATTGAGCGACACGTCCACCATTGTCTTCAATGAGTTACTATCTGGTTTTTATTAATTATTCACTTGTAATCTTGATCGTTTTATTACATGTATTCATAATAATGCATGTATCCATCTACTTACTTATTTTTGTTTATTTATTCTAAAACTTGAGTCACTTAGTTTTATTGATTTCGGCTAAATACCGATTTCCCGTTTACTTAATACTCATATAGATGTACATAATATACGTATCCGAAATTGTATTCCAATATTATTAGATGAAACTATGAATTATATTGATTGATTGATTATATATATAATGATAAATTATGATTCAATAATAACTACTTATGAGATCAAGTTCTGAACGTAATCTTTCTAAATGAACTGATACTAGAATAGAAAACAACTGCTTAATGGGGTGAGCTATTATATGTGAACTATCAATAATGCACATCTTTCATAAAAGTAACATCAAAGTATCAGGCTTAATTATTATTCTATCAAATCAATTACCAAATTCTATAACTATAGTAACAATTGGTCAATTCAAAGTAACCAACGTGCCCTAATAATCTAAGGTTAATATTCATGATTACTTATTACCTGTATTGAAATATTCCTGGTTTTCTATGTATTCAGATGATCTCAATCAGATGAAGAATCATTGTAAACTGAAAAACTTTAGATAGAAGTTTCTATTAAGTTTATGAAATGTACATCAGCGACCTTCATCTTACAACATAAATTCACTGAAATTGAAAAGATCGGGAATAAAATTTAGAACTATTAGTTTAAAAGTGCTATGATTACTGTTGGACTGAAAAATCTTCGGTTCATTCTCATGTAAAGTTATAGATTTACACTGCCAAATAACTTCAGATTACTGCGTAACAACTGTATTAATGCTCTTTTGATTTCAATAATTCTTCAACTGTCCATAGTAATTGAAAACACTTCTAGTTTCTACTGCAACTTACTATTCTCGACGAAACTATGATTTATGAACGACCTTTGAGCGACACTAAACTGACCTTGAGTGTCCACCTAATAACTAAAACCAAATGTGGGTTATAAACTTGTATGAGGAATTAGAATTAGAATTTATAATTGATGATTAAGGTTATAAATTAGATTTAATGTTTACATCACGAACTAACATCAGCTATAATGCCAAACTCTATCTAACCAAATAGTTGAGTGAATTTCACGCCGAAATCCGAAACATCTTTGTACGATCCATTTTGAATGTTTTGTGTGTGAAAATCCCTCCATGTATACACTTTCAGTTTGTTCCTATTGACTCCTTTAGTTGTACATTTTGTTAGTCTTTTTGATTCCATTTGAGTTGTTAATATTTGTATTTTATTATAGTTTTTATTTTTCTTAAGCCTTCACTAAGTTTCCGTGTTTCTTCCTGAATTGCATTTATGTTGTTTTACTTTATAATTAGTCCTGGGGGAAACCATACTGATTTGCCCCTCCCTTTGATTGTGTTGTTTGTATTGATTGGAATTGTACATTTTTTTTATTGTGAATTGAGGCACTCTTCCAGAATTGGAAACACTCTGTGTTATAAAGCAACTGCATATTATCTTTTGAATGAATCTTTTCGCGGTCTATCCAGACAGGATAGAACAACATTTATTTGTTGTGATTGGTAATTTTCTCGCATCCTTTATCAACTTCCTTATTTATTGTGATTTAGATTTGATTAATTGAACAATTATTGGTTGGATAGTTGGGTGGTCATATTTGTTTAACAATGTACATTTAAATTTATGATAAATTAAAGAACCGTTATTTTGGTTTCAACCGGTCAAGGGCCCGTATCTAACCCACCTAGACAGCTATTCTTCAGTTCAAACCTTAGTTTAGATCTTACACTCTTATCATATACGTGATTAGTTCGTTCATAAATTATAGTCTCACCCTGTTCTTTAATGCTTTTTCTTAAAATTCATTCTTTATAATAACCATTCGATTTTAACTTATAAAATATTGGGAAGAAAAGGGAACTGATCAATGATTTTTTCTTTAAGAAATGAAAAAAAACAAAAAAGGAAAAAAGAAAAGAAAACAAACAAGTAAACACTTAGTTACCACTAGTTCAAAATGTCAATGTTAATCATTTAATTTTTTTGATGAATAAATTGAACATTTATAGACTCAATATTGTTAAAATTGAATAAATAAATTTTTTTTAAAATAAACTAATCTGGATACAAGTTTTAAAATATTATCATTTTAAAAAGAAAAAATGATGTAGAATAAATCATTGAACAATTGAACAAATGAATTTACTATTAGAGGTTTTAAAAAAAAGAAGAAAGAAAGAAAAGAAAGAAGAAAAGAAAAGAAAAACCATGTATGATTATCTATAATCTCTATACAAAGTATCAATTAGTTTAATGGTGGTTGTTTGCTTGTTTGTTTGTTCGTTTTTTTTTAAAGGAAAGAAAAATAGAGAAATCATCAACCTACATGTGTGAAGGAAAAATATCTTGTAAAGATGACCTTATACTCTGTTATAGAAAAGATAATTTCATTCAGCTTAAATATGTTTAAATGCTGATCAGATTCAGATATTTCAGTGTGTTGTATCATTGTATAAATAAGGAGATTGAACAGTTACACAAAGTGGTACTTGAAATTGTTGAACTTTCATAGGAGATGATTTACAACACAAGGTAGATGATGATGATAGTGTTATTGAAGAAGATAAATAGCCAGTATGTGTATGTATAATTGGAGATTCATGTCGACTATGTGATTGATTTTGTTTTTGTCTTAAGTTTTCATTTGAATCCAACGTTATTTCATCGGAACAAAGTGCTGATTGAACACAATTAATATTTTCTCCAGTAGTCTGTACATAAGGTAAATGATCTATACATGATTCTCTTGTTATGTAACCATGTTTTGGGGCATCAGTTTAAGTTTAATTCATCCAATATGTTCATCTTAGAAGGAGTAAAATTTGAACTGGTTTTATTTGTTTATATATATTGAGTCAATCGATTTTGGAGCCTATTTTTTGACTTGAAGTTTTATACTATTTATAAATATTTAGTAGGCTAGTTATTTCTTGAAAGTTTATCTCAAATATCATAATTAAATGTTGAAACAGTCTACCTAATCAAAAACTGATTAACGTAATTGTTAAATGTATTATTGGGTATGTAATAATTTGAAATGATAAATGATGACCCTGTAAAAGAAGATGGGGAATATCTTGTGATTAAACTATATAATTTAAAGAACACATCACAAATGAAACCACTTTACTTAAGCTGTAGTATCCTACTAGACTGATGTTAGCTATACTACTAATGAAAAACTGAGAGCGTTGAACTTCGGTTTCCTCTTAGTTTGAGATTCCATAAAAACGTGCACTCTGATGACGGCTCAGTGATTTATAGGTTAAGCGTTCGTGCTAGTGACCAATGGTCCGGGGCTCGATTTTTGTGGGTAAGATCGTGGATACGTACTATTGAGGAGTCCCACACTAGAAAAAAACACCCGGCCAGTATTTTCCAGTTTACAACCGAGTTCTATATATGATCATTCCGTGAGTGATAATCCTATTTGTTAAAAATAAATAAATAAAACTATTAATAAAGAAAAGCTTCCAAGAAAAAAAAATCGTGAATCACTCGTTCACAACTGTTATCTTCATCAGGTTATGCTGATCATTATAGATACACTTCAATCAATCAACTGCTCCAACAGAATGATAACTAAACAGTTTAAAAGACAATGCTAAAAATAAATTCAATCTATCCATCTGAGAGTATGAAGTAGAAAAAAAATAATATTTTTGTTTGTCAATCTTGAATCTTTTTCATTAAATTGTAGTGACCTACTTTTATCAAGAGGACGCGATTGATTTAATGGAATCAATTATTATTATAACCAATAGTAACAGTGATTGTTTTACCGTACTTGTTTGTTTAACTGTACTAAAGACATTCATTCTTCCGTTGATTCGGTTACGCTCAGTAACCACACTTGTAACCTGGCACGATCTCGGTATTCTTTCGATACCACGAGATCGCCAAAAAATAATTCTCGACTACAGTTATCAACTACCTTTTTATATTTGGCTTATGGGGGATCTTATCGGTTAACTGGCACGTCGTCTTCCTGTAGTGGTGATCGCAGTCAACCGCGACTCGACGCCACACTACAAGATCATTCTATAAAACATTATCCCTGTAAGTATGTTTGATTAAATATATTGAATACTAAAGATTCCTTTTTTAAAAACATAGTTTTCTTATTCAAGAATAGTAATTAAGGCTAGAATGCATTGAAACACGATGTACTTGTCACTGTTAATATCGACATTGTTGCTAAACTGGTTTGTGCCTAATAGTAAAATTCAAAATCCAACGACATATGAAGAAAACACAGAATAAAATTTTTGATTGAGATCATGAACCGATTGATGTTAGACCACCTCTGGTAACGTGGAAGCACTGGACAGCCGCTTCGTCCTATTGTGGGACTCCATAAAACCCTTTCTGATACTAATCAACATATGCTCAAAGTGACTGGCTCCAAGATATATATCCTGGAGTTCTAGTGAGAAGCAGTGACCAATGGAGTTCAACGGGGTTAGTTGTGAGATAAGAACTCACCGATGACAATGGTGGATGTGTCTCTCAATTTCATGGACTAGTTGAAGTTAGACATTAACACCGTTGGATGTAGGTCCAGTGGTCTAGAAGTTGAGCGTACGCACGTGAGACCGATAGGTCCTGAGTTCGAATCTTGCGAGGTGGGATCGTGGATGTGCACTGCTGAAGAGTCATACAATAGGACGAAACGTCCATCAAGTGTTTGCAGGTTTTCTATGATGGTCTAGCTTCAATTAACTCATGATCTCAACTATTGAAATTACTACAATGTACACAAAACCCCTTCTGATATTAATAAAATAATACTTATCAAGTAGATACGTTACGTAATAATTATATAATCACATATCGATTATAAATTAACATTGAGTAATTGGAAGAAAGAGGATTAATAATAATCAAAGTAATTATTCGAAAATCAATTAGTTGCTACGTTGCGTAATATATAAAAAGGAGAAGAAACTATTTTGATGAATGGTCAATAGTACAGTAGTTATGTAAGAATAAAGAGACGTGTGTTGAGAATCAGTAAAATACAAAGAATACAAAAAAAATGGAAGAGATACGAAAATAGTTTATCAAAGTTCTGCTACAAACTCCCCTATACCGATTGATGACTAAGGTAGCGTGAGTGGTTGTACAAACTTCTTTTGGATGCAAATGTTTAATTTGTGAATATGAATTGATTTACTTAAGTATAATGTTTATTCAAGGTAATATCATCTGCATTAATTCAGTGTAAAGTTAATTCAGTATCATTTGTAGCTTGAATTTTTTGTAATAATTCTATGTATTTCCCCTATTGTGAAGGAATCGTCTATGATGAGTAAAATCACTGTGTAAATGAGTGTATTTATACATATGATTTTCATTTCTTTCTAACTGCCATAACAAAATAAGGGCAGGATTTTCGTCATCACTCTTTGCTTTATCAGATTTTTATGTGGTATACTGAAGTGTAACTAATGTTGTATCTTTCGTTTATATGATAATGAATTAAAATAAACACACAAGAAATTACACTGAAACCTTGATAGCATAGTAGCCCAGTTAAAATTGTTGTTTCTTTTTAAGATCATTATGGCTGTCTCTATGTCCCTCTAAATGAATGAATCAAAGATTTAGACCTTTTGATCTAACCGTGATAAATCTTTTAACTGAACGCTTAAGTCAGTTACCTAATAATCCTAGGCTAAATCCACTGAACAATTCGAACACGAGAGAAAAAGCGTGAAATGTGAAATGAACGCTTTACTCCAAGGTTAATTTATGTACAGAAAGTTGAAGGTGTTTATAGTATTTCAGATGACCATTAACTTCTGGAATTTTCCGGAACCATATTAAACATAGTATCAGGATAGGTAATCGTTCAATGAGAAATGTGACAACATGACTCCTTACTATCTAGATGTTTCTGATAAACTTCTATTCAACGCTGGTTGGATAAAATACTTTCAGTATTTCAGTGCACCTCTGGAATTTTTGAAGAATACTAAGGATTCCCCCCAACACCTTTCTTTCATAACATAAGTCTTCATCCTTGGATCTACTTACCATATCAATCGCTGTCAATCTGTACAAAGTTCCGTTAATTTAGTAGGTGAATGTTGTAAATAACGACAGGATTTTCATTGAGGATTTCATTTCGATCATCTGGAACTATCTATATAAATATTCTCTATGAAAATGTCATTAATAATGATCCATCACAACTTCTTGAATGAATGAACAATTGAGTTGAACAGAACAATAACCGAAAATACTTAATGTGTCCTATAAACAAAATACTGAAAGATAGATAAGTTATAAATCCACGGATATATATTTTATCTTGGAAAATTACCTGACAACTAAATTAAACTAAGTTATAAACGATTACTCATTGATATTGAATAATGTTAGGAATCTATGAAAAGATCATTGGAATTAGAAATAGTGATCTACAATTTCTGATTCATTTAGTTGAATAACACATAAACTCTTTACTTACTTACTTACTTACTTACTTACTTACGCCTGTTACTCCCAATGGAGCATAGGCCGCCGACCAGCATTCTCCAACCCACTCTGTCCTGGACCTCCTTTTCTAATTCCATCCAATTCTTGTTCATCTTTTTCATGTCTATATATATATATATATATATATATATATATATATATATATATATATATATATTATAAACTCTTTACAAAAACTAAATATTCAAGTTCCATTCAAGTGTAGGGTTTGTAATATAACGTTTGTTCATTATATATTTATTTGTTGTTTTACATGCAAATCATTATTTGTATAACTCTGTCTATAGATTTTTTAAAGGCTGCTGTTGGTCTCAAGCCCGGATAAAGGAGCAGAGTTGGGTGTGAGGTCAACACCTCCATCCCGTACAAAACAACCTTGTTATAAAAAAAAACGCTGACCAGAATAAACAAATTGAGTAATTATTTGTAATGTATGGAGATTGGATTAGTTTGTTTTTTTTTCAATTTTACAGGGAAATCTACTTTCTTCTATATTACATTTAACAGAATTACTTAATAGTTGAATTCATGAGTCGATCATCATTGAAAACTTGGAAGAATTAGATAACCAACTCTTCCAATTATACGACTTCTCAGAAGTGCACATACACGATCCCATATTGCTGAATAGTCCCATACTAAGATGAAACGGTTGTCCATTGCTTCCAGGTTTTCACTGGTGGTCTAGCTTAGATCGACTCATAAATTCAACTACTGAAATTACTATAATCTCTACAAATTCTCATTCTGAGAATTCTTTAAACAAAACTGATTGTAAGTGTACTATTATTTGACTTCATTGCCAATTATTAATTAATGAATATCATAGTTCATCGAAATAGTAATGTGATGTGTGCTACTTATATTGACATAAATAGTATATAACGCAAGTCAGGAATATAATGTCTGGCAGTAGAAGACTGAGAAGATCAGGAAGGGACGAATGAGAATAGACAATAGTTGGTATGGAAATTTAGGAACAATGAAGTCTGGGACAATTAATGAACATTTTGTAAATGAAGTATTAGAGTATGATTTTTCTATTTTATCAAGTGACTGTACATTTGTGCTAAATATAATTCGGTTGTCCTCCTATGTATTCTCCTTCACTACAGTATTACGTATATGTATCTATTCAAAGTTTATATGTGATAATCATCGAAGTATCCCTTTTTGTTAAAACACTATCAATAATCATATAGTGCCGGATAGATAGGAAATAATTTTCATATCTAACATATTATAACTCATTATTCACATAAATAATAGCTTCAAACGACTCATGATTTCAACTATTAAAATGACTAAAATCTCCACAAAATCCCTTTTGAAAATAATCATCTGCTCACTAGTGACTGCCTTCAAGAGGCATTTCCTGGAGTTCTAATGAGAAGCCATGACCAGTGGAGTTCAACCGGGTCTGTTGTGAGATATCAGCTCACGAAAAACATTGATGTACGGTGGCACGATTTTGTGGATTAGTTGAAATTAGATATTAGCACAGCTGGATGCCGGACGGCTCAGTGGTCTAATCGCTAAGCACTCGCACGCGAGACTGATAGGTCCTGGGTTCGAGTCTCGCGAGGGGGAGCGAGATCGTGGATGCGTACTGCAGTAAAGTCCCATACTAGGACGAAACGGCCATCCAGTTCTCCCAGATTTCCCATGGTAGTCTAGCTTTAATTGACTCATGATTTCAACTACTGAAATAATAAATAGCAATTATAATTTGTATATATATATATTATACATATTATTGTTTCCTTTCTAATCAATTATAAAGAATTAAAAACTAGGTAAATTACAAATGATTAATTTAAGATGAATATTGACAAGTTCTAAATATTTCAATTTGATATTAAGAATAATTTGAACTAATTGCTAGTTCAATTGTGTAATGCAGTCTTAATGGTATATAAAGAGAAAAAAAGTTAAACGATTTGAAACTTTGATTCAATTGTGAAATGTTTGATAATCATAATTAGATTAATAGTAGTAGTAATAGTAGTAGTGATAATGGTAGTGACAGTAGTAGTAGTGGTAGTAGTAGTAGTAGTAGTAGTAGTAGTAGTAGTAGTAGTAGTACTAGTAGTAGTAGTAGTAGTAGTAGTAGTAGTAGTAGTAGTAGTAGTAGTAGTAGTAGTAGTAGTAGTAGTAGTAGTAGTAGTAGTAGTAGTAGTAGTAGTAGTAGTAGTAGTAGAAGTAGTAGTAGTCATAATAGTAGCAGTAATGGTAGTAGTAATAATAGTATAGATAGTAGTAGTAATAGTAGTATAGATAATAGTAATAGTAGTAGTATGTATGATTTAAAATAATCTAAATTATAGATAAGTTTTATACAAATTCATACATATGAATACATAGAATGTTCATTGTCACAATGAACTAACATTTAAACTTAAAAAATAAAAATTAAAAAAAAACGAAAAAAGAAACGTTTCAATCCATTATATAATAGATGTTATGGAATCTGTTAATGGTTTAATTATTTCCTCTGTCTCATTAGAATTACATAAATGATTGTTTCTAAGAGAATGATCTTTATTCATCCAATGATTAGAATTCATAAATTTAAATTTTTTAAAATTTTCTAATATACTTATCTGTTGATAATCAGTAGTATCCATGGTATCATTATAAGTAGTACAATCATGATTATTATTATTATTATGTTTAATTGATTCATTTAAATCTTGTTTATTGATTGGATTATTTTCATTTAGATTAGATTCTTCTAATTTCATTGTATTCCATTGTGATTTCCATATTTCATTTAATCTATTTAATAGATTGAAACTTGTCCATTTTGTCCAATCAGTTGTCAATGATGTTGATTGTGATGTTAATTCTTTACTATTACTTTTACCATTATTATTATTATTGTTGTTATTATTACCATTACTACTATTACTATTATCATTACTAGTAGTGTTACTATTGTTATTATTATTATTATTATTATTATTATTATTATTATTATTAACAGCAGTACAATTGTCTCTGCTAATTGGTTTTGTCAAATTACATTGTTTCTTATCATTATTGAATGGATCAAATAATGATCCATTTAAATGTAAAGCATTTTTTAAAAATTGTTGATATGATTGTAATAAAAGTGAAGAATCGTTGGTTAATTGATTAATGAATGGATTATTTATTGAATATAGATCATTTCCATTATTATTATTATCTACATTGATTGTGGATACATTAAAAGTATCTTGCGGAGGATTTAAATGAGAATGTGCTTGATTTAATTTATTATTGATTAATGGATAAAGATTATGTAATAATGATGATAATTGTGATGATGTACATGATGAGGAAGAGGATGAAGAGGGGAAGGAGGAGGATGATAACGATGAAGATGATATAGATGGTTTAAAATAATCTATATTTTGATGATCTAATTGATTCATATTATATTCATATAAAATTTGATTAAAATAGGTTATAAAAGTATTTTCAATAAATTTTTGATTCCATAATAATGATAATTTATTTGAATCAATCAATTGATTATCATTAGATTGTGATGATGATGATGATAATGATGAAAGAATAGTTGGTTTAGTTATATCTAAAATGGATTGAAATGATTGATTTTTATAATCTTGTTCATCATTAATTGTACTAATTAATTGAATTCCTTGATTAGTATAATGTGAATTTATTGATTTAGCAGTATATTGTATTGATGAATTAAGTATATTGGATATTGTTGGTATTGGTAATATTGATGGTTTAGTTGTTGTTGTGGTGGTGGTGGTTGCTGCTGTTGTTGTTGTTAGTTTAGATGTAAATACTGATCCAGTTGATATTTTACATAAATTAGAATCATTATTTATTGATTTATATTGATCAATATCATGTAAAAAGTCTTTTTTAGATATTTGTTTACATGGATGATTTGTATTTCCATGAACTATTTGTGATGATGCTGTTGATGGTTGTAAACTAAATATATGTGGTGGTATACCAGTAACCATTGAACCTGCTACAGCTTGTTGTGCTAATAATGTTTCCATAGATTCTCTAAAGAAAATACAAAAGAGTTTGTGTGTAAGGGAGAGAGAATGAGAGAGATGAAATGGTTTAACTAGAATATATAATTTTTAATGGATACTATCAACTTGTTTCATTATTTAATTCATTTTATCTCTAGGAAGAATAAAGAAATTTGCATAGGTATAAAATCATGTGAGAAATTAAATTTTAACTGCCAAAAAAAATCCAGCGGGTGACTTAACATATTCTTGATAGTTGTAAGCTAATTCCCACTCGTTAGAAATATATATATACAGTCTTATAGAAACTGAGGTGTCTACGTCAGTCGAACATTTATCACGGTCAAAGAGAAATTATCCCACTGGAATGAATCGTACGCGACTGATTTCCAACTGAAATAAGATATTTATCATGGATTTATCAATGAGCATTTTAAATAGTTAGACAGTTCATATACTCGGAGATTCAGGTACATCTAGCTAACAAGTCTCAAATAGGACGAAACGTACGTCAAACTGTATTCCACTGCTAGCCACTATCCATCTTTGTTTATAATGCTTGTGAATTAAGATAATATCGAGGCCATGATTATAGTATTCACATATGTCGATAAGAGACTAATCAATTGTAGCTCTAAATATCAATGGAAAGTTTCAAGTAAACAATACCAGATGAATTCGATATTTTTTAATGCTACTGGTTGTCGTATTTTCCTCGTCTCTGTATCAGAAGTTTAGCTTTTATTGTTATCAGAAGTGCATATATATATACAAGTATCTTGGAAACCTTACTCGACTAAATACCCCATGAATTTAGAGTGATAATGGTTTTATTTTTCTTTAGTAATTCAAGCTACTTATGAGTAGATTGAATCGTTTTAAACAATTTAAAGGCCAGTTGAAATTTTTGTCATGACATAAAGAACTTTTGAAAATCAGGAAACAATGAATACATGCTATGAAACTCATCAGCAGTGAATATTTAGAAAACTGTAATTGATTAGATCTATAACCTTCGTGCTTCGTAATTAGTATTTTTCCTTAAGATCACTGAATTAAAATTCAATGGCTCACATATTTTACAGCTGAAGTTCTTGTCGGTTTACCAATAATCAAAAGTGATCAACTTTCCAGCCTTCTTAATATGAACTTTCTCACTGTGATTAGGATTATTAGCGCGGTTTACATTTTCCAGAAGCCTTGAAAATGGAACGTGTTGTATCCATTCTCATGGCCTATGTCATAAAAAACATTACTGTAGACCGTTTGTTTAGAATAAAACTATGCCTTTAAACAACATATATAACTTCTTAGCGAAATAGGACCTCTGTTCATCATTTTAATGAGCAATATTAATAAAACTGCTTGTTTTGATAATCAGAGTTAAACACTTTTAACTATGTAAATTATTCGACTGTTTATAGTTGAAATATTTTTCTTTTGAAAATTAGTCATTTTATATGTACCAGAATGATCAACGAACTTTAAAAAGAACTCTTAAATTCCTGGTGAGTATCTGTAACCAACCGAATCTAGTTCGGTATAGATTGAGTTGAATATCATTGTTGGTACTAAATGATAGATCAAGAATTAGAAACCAAATTGAAGTAATTTTATAACTGATTAATAATCTACACTGATTACCTAACTAAACCCAATCAGTTTTTGATAAACTATCTTTGAACTAAATAATTATCAACTTGATAATAAGCACAATGCTTTTTAACTATCAAGTTTCAACCCAGTGATTCATATTTCCAGAAAGCACTAGACAATAGTTTCTCTCTAGTCTAAGATTTTTCAGCAGTGTGTATCTACGACCCCGCATGTGGGACTCGAACTAACGATCTTCACTTTCGTGCATGAGCGCCTAACCTTTAGACTAACAACTGATTTTTTCTAGTTCAAAAGTAATTTTTCTCACTATAACCTGTTATATAAATCAGGAGACACTGACATCAGTATTTCATCATAGTTAGAGACTACTTCCTACTAGTAAATAATAACAATACCCTTTTCATCAGTGGGTAATTTCAATATGGATTACATATAGTTCTGTTTATTTTAATGATGATAAAAGATCATGACTTATATGGAGTTAATCAAATCGACGCTAAGATATTTAAGTAAAAGTGAAATCGAACAATAATGTTCAACTAACAACAGTTTATGATTTAAACTATCAAAATTCTAGAATCTCCATAAAACTCTACACTAATAAAAATCAATTTAGTTCATAAATTTGTTATCATAAAATTAATAAGTATCTAACGAATTTGTGAAGTAAAACAAAAAGTGATTGAACTAGAAAAGAGTTATGCATCATTATCATTTATGTGTAGCTTCTGTAATCCCAATTAGGATTTGCACAAAGTGATACACGAATACACACACATACACATGGTATAGTCATAAACAAAACTATGACTAATTAATGGTAAACTAACAAATTGACCATGTAATAACTAAAACAAATTACAATTATTTGAAATATATTTATGATGTAAGTTAGATAGAACAAACCAGATCCTAGAGGAGGAAGAAATCAGGAAGAAGCGCTGGAAGGGGATAAGACACACATTGAGGAAAGCACTCAACTGCATCACAAGGTAAGCCCTCACATGGAATCCTCAAGGCCAAAGGAAAAGAGAAAGATCAAAGAACATAGTACGCTGAGAAAAATGAACGAAAATTGGATAGAACTGGAAAGGAAGGGTCTGGACACAGTGGATTGGAGAATACTGGTCGGCGTCCTATGATCCATTGGAGTAACAGGCTTAAGTAAGTAAGTTAGTAAGTTAAATAGTTGTAAAAGGAAAGGAAAATGTTAAAGGTAAATAGTTTACTAATAGATCATCTTAATCTATACGTTATATCTGTTATAGATTGATCTCAGTTAGAGAATGATTGGAAATCAGGGAAGCGGTGCTAATCTATTTCATTTTAGTATAAGACTCACTAGCAATATGTACTCATGATCTCGCCACAGATCGAATTCAAAAGCTTTAGGTTTCACAGTAAACACAATCATTAGAATTACTTGGTTGGAATCCAATGATAGAATTTCAACTTCAATCAGTTTACAATATTTAGTATGATTACCATCCATCCCATGTCAGTGATGAAAAGTATTATTATATAATTGTAGAATTTCTTGTCTGTTATTTTTATAACTCTGGTAAAATTGTACAAGGATACAATAAAGATTA